TCGCCTGCCTGTGCTGTAGGCAGGTGACCTGAAATGCAGAAAGGCGCCAGCTGAAGCAAGACAAGCACCAAGGGACAGATCATAAGTGAGGGAGTGACACAGGGCAGGACCTGGCAGCCCTCCCTGACATCTGCAAGTGCTCAGATGTTGGCTTGGCAGCTGCTGCACGAAGCCCCTTGTTCAGTGCTGTAAAAAAGATGGGATCTTGTTAAGAGAATGGCATTTTTATTCAAATGGATGTGGACTTAGTAGCAGAAAAATAGCAAGTCCTTCTGATGTTCTACATATTTGACAGCAGTAATTTTTTTTTGCTATGCTCCATAATTAAAAAAGAAAGCACCAGGACAATTTCCTCATCCATTCCCTCCTCCTTCCTCTCTCTTATAGAAATGATATCTGGTAGAGCAGCCAAGATATTTTTCAGTCTGGTGCTCATGGGTCTTTTCATTACTCTTTTGTTCTCACACTGCTTGCCCAGTACAGCAGCTGTTAAATAGACAACTCTGAGAGCTGGGGAAGGATATTGGTGAAATATTTGATTAATGCTATTTTTGCAGGAGATTGATATGTCAACTATTTTTAGCCTCAGGCAAAGAAATAATCAAAGCCAATCCATGTGGCAACCTTCTCCTATTTCAGATGACTTTATAACCTCTAATACTTCACTAGTTTTTAATTTTATATTGCAGTCTGTCACAGTTTCCCACCCTTTGTGATTTCATGCAGTTTTTTAACTGATTGTCCCATTAGGAAATACATTCAGCAAACTTTCCTGTTGGAAAGTGTTGTGTTCATTGCTTCAGAAAGTGTGTGTTGGCACAGCTCTGTTCACAACAATGAAACAACTGAAGGTCTGGCTTTTATCCATAACACACTCTAATTCCCTATTCATAACCTAAATTCCTTTCTGTGCAATTTGCAATGTTTTTTTCATTACATATGCTAGTTACATCTTAGGGTGAATCAGTCAAATGGACTCTAAATTAAAATAGTTGGCTGATCTAAGCCCCAAATCTGTTGCAATGCAGTTTTCTCACAGCTTGGAAGAAAACAGCCAATATAGCCACCACAGACAGGGGTAATTATTCTTTCTGTCTGTCTTTTTCCAGGTAACTGAGTAGATGAATGTACTCTAAAGTTTTAATCTTCTAGGTAATTAGGAGAAATAGATGGAAAAGAAAGTCAATAAACCTTGTGAGCCTGAATAGGTCACGCTAACAGTCAGGATGTCACTGTGAGGACAGGAAATCCTTAAATTAGATGCATCATTTTAGTCTGTAATTTAATCCATGAACCAGAATCAAAATTTGTTTTGAACCATATGCACATAAAAATATGGAAGTGAGGAAACAGAGACAAGTGGACTCCAAATTGAACCCAAAGGGGTAAATTGTCAACTGCTTTGAATGAGAGGAACACTTTGGGCTTGGAGCTGCTGAGTTTAGGTCAGTGACAGCCCTGACCCAAAGGTTTGTCCTTTTCACACTGGAGAAAGAAGGTGCACACCCTCCACTCCTGGTGGTCACCACTATGTGCCTAAATATTTGCTTTTTAAATCCAGGGGAGGAGAGGAGAGACAAGCTAATCTCATAAAGGTTCACCCCACCCTCTGCTTGGCTCCTCTTCCTTGGCAAGCCTTCCCAGCAGCAGCTGGCTGCCTGTTTTTCTTCTGCAATTGTGTTCCTGACATTTCCTGCAGTAGGTTTTCCTGAGGGTTTCCAGCAGCCCTTTCAGCCCACACCCCCTTTCCTGGCCTCCTCTTCCTCTCAGCTGGCTGGTGCCTGGCTCCCAGCGAGGCTGGGCTCCCAGCACACATCCCCTGAGAGCATCCCCCAGTTCTGGGGTGTGCTTTTGTGCCTGGCTCCCAGCGAGGCTGGGCTCCCAGCACACATCCACCATACACATCCCCCAGTTCTGGGGTGTGCTTGTGTGCCTGGCTCCCAGCGAGGCTGGGCTCCCAGCACACATCCCCTGAGAGCATCCCCTGAGATCATCCCCTAGTTCTGGGGTGTGCTTTACTGCCTGGCTCCCAGTGAGGCTGGGCTCCCAGCACACATCCTCTGTGAGCATCCCTCAGTTCTGGGGTGTGCTTTACTGCCTGGCTCCCAGCGAGGCTGGGCTCCCAGCACACATCCACCATACACATCCCCTGTGAACATCCCTCAGTTCTGGGGTGTGCTTTTCTGCTTGGCTCCCAGCGAGGCTGGGCTCCCAGCACAGATCCATACACATCCCCTGTGAACATCCCTCAGTTCTGGGGTGTGCTTTACTGCCTGGCTCCCAGCGAGGCTGGGCTCCCAGCACACATCCTCTGTGAGCATCCCTCAGTTCTGGGGTGTGCTTGTGTGCCCTGCTCACGGAGAGAGGTGCTCACTGCCAGGGCTGCGTGCTGGGAGCACAGACAGGGAGCCAGCAGGGAATTACTGGGGCTGGAAAAGGCCCTCAGACCCCGAGTCCAGCCTGTCCTTCCTCAGGGCACAGGCTCCCCAAGACAGGCACTGACCTTGCCCTGCTCCTGTGCCAAGAGGTTCCTTTCCTCTTTCAATGCAATTCTTTTTTGGAGAAGCTGCATGTGCCCTCTCTGTGCAGAAGGAATGATGTGAAGAATTTGGATTAGGGAGGGCACATGCACAGATCCTGGATTACTCAGTGTGCTGCTACTTTCCCTCCCCTGAAAGCTTCATCAACTGTCCTTTCACAGGCTTTTAATAAACACTCAAGTGACTTAATCTTTTCGTGTAAAAGCCTACTTGTATTTTAAGCTTTCTGTTATCAATGTCATTAAATCAATATCCTCAGTTCTACAGGATCCAAGTCACATATAAGCTGTCACACACAGTTTAACTTTAAAAGTGCAATATTGAGGTACAGTCAGTTACTTCTTCATAGATTAGAGAATACTTTGAAGTAGAGCTGTTGAAGATCAGAGGGAGTTTATTCCTCTGCAGCCAGTTTCTTACGTGTTGGGGGCTCTCTATCCTGATGACGGTTCTGCCACAGAACTTCAGTGAAGTCTCAGAGGATTAGTATTTTATGCAGCCTTGTGGAGATTACATAATGGGTGATAAAACATGGGACAGATTCTTTAAGAGAAATACAAAGGCAAATTAGGATAGACCCTTCTTTTCCATTCTTTAATCTATTTATCTATTTTTCATTATTATTATTTACTTATTCTTTCTCCGTCTGAGTACATACACAGCTCTGGACAGTGAGGCCTGTATGGTTCATGGTCTAATGAGTGACATCTGTGTTTAGAGTTAAGATGGACAAAACCAAGGACTTGTCCCTTGCCAGAGAAATTTAATTGAGGGTAAAACATACATCTGGGATTTATTTGTGTAAAAGATACACGACTGCAGTGCCATGTCTTCTTCCAACCTGACCCTGAGGTGCCCTTTCCATTTAGTGTATTAGAATCCAGATTTATCTAGAGAAATCTCACTAATCAGAAATGGCAGTTATTGTTCCATCTTTGCTGTTATTGCAGCAGATCTTTCTGTCTCTCTATGGTTTTTTAGCACTGCCTGTCATAGAAGTGAAATAATTTGTACTACAAGGCAGCTGCAGACTCTTTCACTTGCTCCCTTCAGGAAAAGGCTCCAGGGTGTCCCCAGAGCCAGAGGGGAAGGGCAGGGACAGTCCCAGGGTGACAGATCTGAGGGACAGTCCTGGGGTGGCAGTGACAGCCCTCTCTCACCAGCCCCCCACCTGCAGCACCAGCCCATGACAAAAATCCCCAGGAAAACAGGGTGAGGCAAGGAGCTGCAAACCTGGGCCAGGGCTGTGCCCTGGCAGATAAGAAAATTCCGTTGATGTTGTACAGAGATGGGCTGAGCAGGGAATGTCCTTATCTGCAGCACAGCTGCCCGAGGCGTGGGGCAATCCTGGGAGCCCTGGCTGGGCAGAAATTCTGGGTTATCTCCAGCCAGGAGGGACTGGTGCTACCTGGTGCCTGACACTCCGGGCTGGGCTCCTGGGACAGGAGAAGGAAAATTGCATCAGGGACTCCTTGTACTTGGTTGAGTTTCAGCAGGATGAGGTGTTGGGGTTTTAAGGTTCATTCCTTAAAACCAGGAAAGCAAAACTTGGTTATCTTTGGTCTTCACAGCAGAATTGTGTTGCAATAATCTGAGAGCTGTTAATTCACCAGTGATTTTTTTATGTAGAAGACTCTTGTAATTAAAAAATTGCCATAAGGCAGGGTCCACATAATATGGACTTTAGGGATTTATGTATTAGAAAGGGTTGAACAAACACTGGAAATCTTCTAGTTTGAATAATTTTATCTGTAACAAACTATTACTTCACTCCAATATAATTTGAATAATTTTATCATCAAGTTCACTTAACAGAGTGGAGAATGGGATCTCAAAGCTTCTGGAATACAGGAGATTGACTTAGTTGCTAAACCTGTTTATGGAAGATAGAAATTATGTGATTATAATGCTGAGGTGTGCTAAAATAAAATCTTGAATTATGGCATGGCTTTTTCAGTTTGAATGTATGTTTTAAAATAATTGCTGTTGTGGAAAGAAAATGTCTGGGAGTTGGTCATTGTAATGCACATATTTCAGAGTTATTAATCATCAAACGTGACATTTTTATTGCTCAGTGAGAACAAACGAGGAACAAAATCCAAAGAAGCCAAGTGTATACTGAAGAATGATGTCCCAATCCTGCAAAAATTAACAGATGTATTTGTGCTTATGTACAGTAGTGATCCTGCTTTGCTATTTGCTTAAAGGAGGCACAGATTTCTCACTCAGAGTGCTACAGGTTTAATCCCAGTGTGTAAAATTAAGACTGAGTACCAGTCTTTGCATGTTTGGAGCTTATGTTGAAGAAATGAGGACTGAACAATTTTGCTGCCAGTTCTGCTGTGTTAATCTATAATCAGTCTGTTGAAATTATTGTAGCAATGAGAACGTGAAGTAGTGAATAGAGGAATTCAGGCCTTTTTAAACATTCCTTCAGGGTTTATATTTTTTTTCTTGCAGACGCCCAGACAATACAGCCAAGCACTAAATAAAAGTAACAGAGTTCATCTTTACTGTGCATTTCTGGATTACAGGTATGTTGCATAATTCCAAATTCTTTAACCTGGTTTTACTACATTACACTTTCTTTGAGATGCTGGGTATTATCTATATTCTTCTTGCTTCCTTTCATTCATGGAAATAATTAAAGAAATGGAACCACTGGCTCACAAAAACCCCAATCTGATTGTTTCTTCTTACCAGAGATAGGAAACTTGGTATTCACAGACCCTGGGGTGGCAATTGGGCGCTGGAAACATTTTGCAATCAAAGTTGCAGACTGATACAAATCGTGCTTGTCTTGTTTCATGAGTGTGTGTCCACTTGGGCAGGTGCTCAGGTCTTTCAGGGTGGCAGAGCTCCAGCACAGCCTTTGTTTTCACTGGCCCTGTGCCACAGCAGTGTGGGAAATCTGTATTTCAGAGCTGTGAATTTTGGCCAATTCATGGAATGGATAAACATAATGCAATGATCCATCTTGAATGCAAAGTAGAATTAAAGGGAAATAAAAAATCACCTCAAATTTCACTCAGAAAATAAGAGCTGTGGAAAAGCAGTAGCTTTTGGTTGTTTTTTTTTTTTAGCACTGAATACATTTAGTTTTTTTTTGTTTTGAAATACGCTGCTCTTAGTGAACTCATTGAGAAAGAGTACAAATACTGAATATTTCATTTCATGGGGATTAGCAGGTTTTGAGCTGTAACAGTGTAAGCCTAATTGATGTAGCAATGGTCTGGGATGCTGTGATCCCTCCTGAACACCTTGCACTTGGGAAGGTCACGCTATTGTTTTACTGAAGTTTTGTTTCACCTGTGTTGAGCTGCCCCAGCTGTTGGCAGTTACTCGTTGTTATGGTTACTCACAAATTAGGAGAAATTAGAAGCAGGTTTTAATGAAGCAAATGAATATGGCTGGGGCGTTGTTCCTGTGCTGCTCTCCACTGTGGCTGGGGCCCTGGGGGCTTTGGAGGGATACAAGCTCAAATATGAAATCTGTCCTTCCAGATGAGCTTCCTTGTGCCAGGATGGGTTTATTCCCTAGTGCACAGTACTTAATTTGCTTTCTGACCTACAACAGTCTCTCTGAGAGCTCAAGGAAGTCCTGAAGGGCAGGAGTATGAGGTAATACCTATCTTTAAACCAAGCACTGGGAGGAGTACAGATCACTCAGTCAATCTGCAGGACCCAGAAAAAAATGAGAAAGAAATAGTTCCTGTCAGTCAGTGGGTGGGTGACCCGTGGTCCCTGAGGCTCCTGTGTCCCCACTGCGCCCCAAGGCTGGCAGAGCACAGGGAATTCTGGCTTGTGAGATGACACTCTGCCTTTTGTGCTTTGCAGCAATGGGACTGGTGTTTGGTCTGACGAGGGCTGTGTGCGTGAGAGTGGGGACCTCAACTACTCCGTGTGCCTCTGCAACCACCTCACCAACTTCGCCATCCTGATGCAAGTGGTGCCCCTGAAGGTGAGACTCAGCAAAGCAGTAACTCTGTTCAAAATGAGGCATAAATACATCAGTTACATCCTCACACCACGTAAGTGACTGAAACTGGGCTCATTTATACCCAACTTGGATTTGTTTCTTGCTTCTGTGGTGTTATCCAGAGAGCTTTATTAATACCCCAGCCCTCTGTGTCAGTCTGAGCACTTGAAGGGGGGTTGGCTTCCTCAGGCCATCCAGTTTCCATCTAACCACCATTATCTTTATTACTTGTAAAGCACCTAATGACCCCATCTGGTTTCCAAATATAATTTTTCTAGGAACTCTTCAGGCTGATAATAAAATGCAGCTTTGCCTCAAGACCTCCCATCTTGTAAGACAGAAGTATCTTGGGAGAAATGTGCTATTATTAACCCTCTTTTAAAGAGCAGCATTCAGGGCATTAGCCAGGATTAAAGAGGACAGCCAGCAATTAAATGCCACTGAAAGATTCGTTGGTTCTCCACTGGGGAATAGTTCTGAAAGGCCCAGCTTTCATCTAAACAGATTTAGGATTGTGATGATTAATGGGATGCTGCAATAAGTTTTAGTATGATGCGATATTAGTGATTAGAGATCAAAGATATTTCATATAGAATTCTTTGGAATCAAGTTTTCCTTAAGGGGTCTGAAACACATAACCAGGAAAGGCTGGTCGTGAATGGACCTTCCAGTTCCTCACAGTCCTTTCACAGCTCCATTTTCAATAGTTTCTCTCTCCTTACATTTTTGGTCTGGTGCATTTACATCCACAGACTTTGTGCAGAATGTTTTTCCACAGCTTTGTTTTCCCCTTTATGATTAAAGGAAAATCTCATCCCAAATCTTTGTCCAAGACATTTCCTTTAAATTGACCATTTAGGATTTTCTTGTGGTAGTATTTTTTTTTAACTAGTGAAAAGAATTGTTATATAATTGACATGAAGAGTCAGGCTAAGACAGAATTCCTGGCATTTGAGCTGTGCCAGCAGTCACAAATTCCCAAAACATTAGCTAAGTGAAGCCTACTGAACCAACGTGACAATTGGAAACGTCTCTCAGGTGTCCTTGGAATCCTCTTAAGCAAATGTTAAAATGCTGTGGATTTTGAGCACATACTTGTGTTTGTTCACCATGTTCAGAAATTCATGAGCCAGGGTTCAAAGGGTCCATTTAAATCACCCCTTGGAACACCAGATGCCAATGCTCCAAGAGATTGTTGCTGTGATGTTATATCTGATCTTGAACTTTTGTACAGTTTAATCTTTTCCTAAATGCAGTGCACAGATAATACAAAACAAGTAAAAAAGAGTGGGAGTATGCAATTGCCCACATTTGAACGGTTCTGTTTCCACAGCTATAATACATCTGTGGCCAAACAAATTTAAATGGATCAAATTTTTTTTTGTATGAACACTGTTTTTGAAAGAATGTTTCTTTTTCTCTAGATTCTGGGAAAAAAATTTATATTTTTACCCAAAAGGCTCTGCTTTTCATAAAGAATGGAAATAAGTTATTGGAAATGAACTGCCTGAAAACTGTAGATTTTTTTTTCATCTAAAAAAAAGGGAATTAATTTTTCATGGTAATTCTCTGGGTGTTTTATACTTCCCTTCTCCTGTGGCAAGTATCATTGCCCTCTCTCCCCAGGGTACAGATAAATGCAGCTCTCAGGGGAGCAGCAAGAAGCAGAGACCCCCTCCAAGGGCACCTTCACAGCCTTTCCTACAGCAGCCAGCAAAGCCAGGGTGCACAGTTCTGCCAGCCCCTGCAGAAAGGCAGGCAGATGCACAGAAACAATTTGAAAATCTAAAAAAGGGCGATGCTGACAGTGATAAAGAGCTGCAATACACACCAGTACGTGTGCAGCAGCTTCAGTCCTGGGAGAGCATGCCCAAGGAGAGCCCTTGTGAGGAAATCCATGAGCTCTTGGGAGCAGCTCAGTGGGATAAGTGCTCTGCCTCTCTCAGCTCCCCTTCACATTGATTTTCCTTCTGCTCAACAAAGGAAAAAAAAAAAAAAAAAGGGGCATAAGCTTCCATTAATGTGCCTTTGCAGTTCTTTAGAGTTTGCTGTTCCCAGCTGGAGTGCACAGGATCCTCAGGGGGTCCATACAAAGAAAACAAGTGACCTTCCTCACTGGGCAGCTGGGGTGGGCACTGCTGGTGGCCAGGGCTTAGCTCGGGGCTGACTCTGTCAAGGATGGCGACTTCTTCCTGAGTTCTGCTGAATTCCAACAGGGATCTTCTTGCTTAAGTCCTTGTCTTTGTTCCTTCACCTGGTTAGCTGTGGCTTTTTCCAGCTGTGGAATGCAGCAGGGTCCATCCCTGCAGCTCCTCTGGCCCTGTCCTCCTTCCTGCTGGCACTGCTCCAGCCCCTGTCCCACCGTCACACGTTCCCTGTGCTCCTTGTGTCCAGGGATGCCTTGCTACATTCTCAATATTCCTTAGCTCTGCAGAGCTGTGTTACTAATTCATGCACCTGGCTTGAGAGGAATTTCAGTGTCCCACTTGGATTCCATTTTGTTTCAGTGAGCCATTGATAGGAACAAAACTGTAGGGTATCTTGCATTTCCTGGTGCTGTCTTTTGAACATTTGAAATACTGAGATCAGGGGTGCTGATGAACTGTTAGACATTTGTGGCACAGACTGTCAGGTGGGTGTAATTTCTAGGGAGCTGAGAGCATGGAAATGCAAGAAAGTTCTGGAGAACAAGCTGTGAATTCTCCATTTTATTTATTGATCTTTACTCAAAACAGGTTAGATTAATTCAGTCACTGTTCTACTGTGTGCCAGCTGGAGGTGATCTCCAAAGGCAGAAATCTGCTGAGATGAAAAATCACTTTTATTCTAATATTCAGAGAAAGAAATTGAAAGAGATTAGTCACAAAGGAAAATTTGAAATTGTGGAATATTAACTTCAACGTGACAACATGAACCTTCACTCTGATATTTGTGGGCTCTGCACCAGGAATGGAAGAACTTTGAAAGTTGTGGATTACTTATAACTGAGCTCAGATTACAGATGTAGTTGCACAGCACTCCAGATTTTTCATTGGTTTCAGCAGGAGCTCTAAGGCACTGAAGCCAAGGTGGTTGTGAAAGAAGGACAGGAACAATGCTGCTGAGGAGCTCAGCTCAGTGCCTTCAGAGGTGCAGGGGATTAGCAGTTGTAACAAGTTTATTTCAGGGTTGAAATAACCATCTTACAGCCATGTGGTGCTCAGATGTCAGCCTGGCACTGACCTGGTACCCTGCTGAGGAACTGGACCACAGACACTCTGAAATTGTGTTTTTTCACTCTGCTGCTATGTCTGTAGCACCAAATTCCTTATTGCTGAGATTCGTTTATCTTGTTGGTCCTCACTTGAGAATGATAACATCTATTTTGAATTTTAGAGCTTAGTGGTCATCAACTAGTTTAAACAAATAAATAAGTTGATTGAAGGCAAAATGGGAGTGCAGATGGGCAGAATGTTCCTGAAGGAACATGTTGAACCCTTGATTGAGAAATGTCATGGATGTAATTAAGGTCAGCAGGCAATCAGCACTTGGGGACCGTTGGGAACTCCTGGGCAGCTCTGACCGAGTCAGAGACTGAGGATTGTTCAATCCCATCTTCCCAGCAAACCCTGGCACGGGACACTCGGAGGAGCTGTGCAGGCATGAAGGGACTGCTCTGATCGAGCTGCTCCTTCTGGTGGGGAGCCTGAGGCAGGGTGAAGAAGTCCCTCTAGCAAATAATCATTGCTGTAGCTGCACCTTGGGAAGTCCTGTCTTCCTCCCTCCTTGGTCCAGGGCAGTGTTCCAGGCTTTCCTCCATCCAGTGCAGCCAGCACAAGCAGGCAGGGAGCCACAGGTGCACCAGTGTGGCTGTGGTGGGAGAAAGAAAGAATCCATTAATTTGGATGTGTTTGCTCCTTCTGAAGAAGGGCCAGGAAGAAGAGACCCAGGGCCAGGAGCTGCCTGAGGGTTTCCTGCAGCAGTGGTGCAGCACTGTCCTGCTGGGGGGCACCTGGGTGGGACAGGAGACATCCCCTGGGGCCGGGGGATCCCAGCTCTGCCTCTGCTGCTGGGGGCTCCTGGCAGCAGGGACGGGGGCAGCAGAGGCAGAGCAGCAGCCCCGTGGCACACACGGACAGCAGAGTCCCTTCCTAGACAGCAGGAAACCCAGCCCAGCACAGAGCTGCAGCTCAGAAGTGCTCCAAAGAAAATTCGGATGCTATTACTGCATTTCGGGCAGCTTTCTCCCCGCGTCAGTCAGTGGGCACTCTGCTCCTGCCAAGGAACATGCCAGCCATCTGGCAGATTTGTTTTTATAATGATCCAACAACTACAAAGCGTGCCAGGCTATTTGTACCATCTGCCACGTAAATGTCACTTCAGCTAAAGGATGGTGGACACCTGGGGACCCAGGGTTCAAAATTCCTTTCAAAGAGGAATCATTTTCTCCCACAGAAAAATAGAGTTTTAAGCCTGGGTCTCCCTCCCCCCGAACACCCCAGAACACAACTGAAATATTGATGTCTCCTAAACCATTCTCTTAATTGTTATTTTTCCTCTGGCTGTCTTTTCAAACTGTGAGAGTATAAAAATGGCTCCTATAAAGTTCACATGTGGATGGACATTTCCCGCTAAGCAGTAGTGTTATACAATCTGTGTTAGAAATTGTTTGGGGTTTTGAGCACATTTTCTGCATTTCTAAAGCTAGAAATGACTTTGGGGTTTGTCCTATTTGTAGCCTGTTCACAATTCAGAAGAGAGCATCAATCAATATAGTTCAAGCAGCTCATCAATGGGCTTGTAAGCAGACAAGTGTTTATACGGGGAAAATACTTGAAAAACCATCTGATCTTGATGATGGAACTGTAGAAACAACCCATTGCATCTTCTAGGGAGCCCAGGATTTTGGAAATGTTTGGGTATTTATCTGTGAGCTTCTGTTTACAAAAAAAAATCATCCCAGATTTCTTTTCTTGAGGCAATATATGGGGTTTTATTTTATC